CGTAGTAGGTGTGCAGTAAATGCTGTTGAATGCATGAAATGCCACACTGACCACCTGCTGTGCCTGAGCTTGTGGAGGCAAAGAGGCAACAATTGTCTTGTGAGCATGTCAAAGCTAGTGCAGAGGGGAGAGGCAGAGTCTGAATTACTAACCACTTCCTGTACTGGACGCTCCCCGAGTGCAGGTGAAACATCAAGAGAAGACAGGAAATCAGGAACCGAGTTTTGGTTCTCAGCCTTGTCATCACATATTCTTTTTGCCTCTTTTTTTCTTCCAAACTCCTGTTTGGCTCACCTTTCCCAAGTCTTACTTTGAAAAATGCTGGATAGACCCCAAGGGGGTTGATCATGTGCCGTCAGCAGGCTGGGAAGCTGGGAGAAGAAAAACAGCCATGGATAACTGGCATCCCGAGGCTGTTTCTCAAGGCCACAGTGGTGTGTGACCCTGGGGTGTGACCCAGACCTCAAAAATGATCAAAATGTTTAGTAATGGTAGCCGAGCACTCTCCAGTTCTTCTGGTCTCCTGGCAAAGGAGGCAGTTTATTCATGGAAGCAATTAGCCACACATTCTATATCCTCCCCCTATTCCTGACTGTCCTTCTCTGTCTGTTGTTCCAAGTGAGTAGAAACCAATTGTTGTGCCTTGGATGGCCAATTGCAAGCTTTTAAGACCCCAAGCACTATTCATTGAACTAGGAGGTAGAACAGAGGCAGCTAAACATGTTATTAGACCAGTTAACTGGGATGTCCCATGAAACCATGACCCTAAACCTCCAAACCAAGGAACCAAATCCTATGAAGTTTTTGGTTGTACATAAGCAGCCTCAACAGCTACTCCCTTTTTTCTTTTTTTGTCATTGTTGTAAATATATTTATCACACAACTTTTGCCAGTTCAACTTTTACAAGTATACGACTTATTGACAGCAATTACAATGATAGGCTGTGCAAACCTACCCTTAATCAAAATGATATTTCCATCACTGTTAACTCCCCTTTCCCCCTCCCTCCCACCCCTGGTAACCACTAATAAACTTTGTTCTGTCTTCGTTTGTCTTTTATAAGTGAGGTCATACAGTATTTGTCCTTTTGTGATTGACTTATTTCAGTCAGCATAATGTCTTCCAGCTCCATCCATATTGTAGCATGTATCAAAACTTCATTTCTATAGGGTCAACAGTAGGAGCCCTGATATACAATATAAACAGCATACAAGCCATGATTAACAATACACAAACACCAGAAGATAAGCTAGATAAATGGGATCTCCTAAAAATTAAACATTTATGTTCATCAAAAGAGTGAAAAAGACAACCTACAGACTGGGAAAAAATTTTTGAGTATGACAAATCCGACAAAGATCTAATCTCTAAACTCTGTAGGAAGATCCAGCACCTCTACAGTAAAAAGACAAATAACCCAATTAAAAAATGGGCAAAGGATGTTCAGCAAAGTAGACATTCAGGCAGCTAACAGACACATGTGGAAATGCTCTTGATCACTAGCCATTAGAAAAATGCAAATCAAAACTACAAAGACACCATCTCACCCTGACATTACTGGCACGAATCAAAGAACAGGAAATAACAAATATTGATGAGGTGGTGGGGAGATTGGAACTCTTAGGCACTGCTGGTGGGAATGCAAAATGGTACAACCATTTTGGAGAACAATATGATGCCTCCTTAAAAAACTAGAAATAGATACACCATACAATTCAGCAATCCCAGTCCTAGAAATATATCCTAGAGAAATAAGAGCCATCACATGAATAGACATATGCACACCCATGTTCTTTGCAGCATTATTCACAATAGCAAAAGATGGAAATAAGTGCCCATAAGTAGATGAATGGGTAAACAAACTATGATACATACACACAGTGGAATACTACACAACGATAAAAAATAAGGATGAATCTGCAAAGCATCTCACAACATGGATGAATCTGAAGGGCATTACGCTGAGTGAAATAAGTCAGTCACAAAAGGACAAATACTGTATGAGACCACTATTATAAGAACACATGAAAATGTTGCCACACAGAAAGAAACAATCTTTGATAATTACAAGGGAGGGAAGGAGTGGGGAGGGAAAAACACTAACTAGATAGCAGATAAGTGTTAACTTGGATGAAGGGTAAGACAATACACAATACTGGGGAAGTCAGCACAGCTTGACCAAGGTAGTCATAGAAGCTTCACAGATGCATCCAAATGCCCTGAGAGACCGAGCTACTGGGCTGAGGGTTGGGGACCATGGTCTTGGAGAACATCTAGTTCAGTTGGCACAACATGGTTTATAAAGACAATGTTTTACATCCGACTGTGGTGAGTAGCAACTGAGGTCTTAAAAGCCTACAGGCAGCCATCTAAAATACATCTACTGTTCCCATCCCAGCTGGAGCAAAGGAGAATGAAGAAGACTAAAGACACAAGGGAAAGATTATTCCAAAGGACTAATGGATCACAACTATCACAACCTCTACCAAACTGAGCCCAGAACAATTAGATGGTGCCTGGTTACCACCACTGACTGCTCTGGCAGGGATCACAGTAGAGGGTTTTGGACAGAGTGGGAAAAAAATGTAGAAAAAAATTCAGATTTCACACACACACACACACACACACACACACAAACACACAAAAGACCAGGTTTGCTGGTCTGACACAGACTGAAGAACCCCAAGAGTATGGCCCCCAACACCCTTTTAACAGTACTGAAGTCACCCCTGAGGTTCACCCTTTAGCCAAAGATTGGACAGGTCTATAAGGCCAGCAATAGCACACATGAGGGACATGCTTCATAGTTCAATCATATTAATGAGACTGTTGGGCACACCAGCCCAAAAGCAAAGACGAGAAGGTAGGAAGGGACCAGAAAACTGTACGAATGGAAACGGAACCTTGGGTGGAGAAAGGGATAGTGTTGACACATCGCGTGGTTGACAACCAGCGTCACAAAACAATTTGTGTATTAGCTGTTTAATGAGTATCTTAGTCATCTAGTGCTTCTATAACAAATACTACAAGTGGATGGCTTTAACAAAGAAAAGTTTATTTCCTCACAGTAAAGTAGGCTAAAAGTCCAAATTCAGGGCATCAGCTCCAGGGGAAGGCTTTCTTTCTCTGTCAGCCTTTTCATCAATCTTCCCCCAGACTTGGAGCTTCTCTGCTCAGGGACCCCAGGTCTGAAGGACGTGCTCTGCTTCCGACACTGCTTTCTTGGTGGTGTGAGGTCCTCCACTCTCTGCCTGCTTCCCTTTCCTTTTATCTCTTGTAAGATAAAAGGTGGTGCAGGCCACACCCCAGGGAAACTCCCTTTACACTGGATCAGGGATGTGACCTTAGTAAGGGTGTTAACAATCCCACCCTAATCCTCTTTAACATAAAATTACAATCACAAAATGGAGGACAACCACACAATACTGGGAATCATGGCCCAGCCAAATTGATACAACATTTTTGGGGGGACATAATTCAGTCCATGACAATGAGAAACTAATTTGCTATATAAACTTTCACCTAAATCATAAAAAAAAAAAACCCTTCGTTTCTCCTACTCTCCTGCTGGCTTAGTAGTATTCCATTATATGTATGTACCACATTTTGTTTATCCACACATCTGTTGATGAGTATTTAGGTTGTTTCCACCTTTTGGCTATTGTGAATAGTGCTACAGTGAACATTGGTGAATAAGCCTCTGTCTGAGTTTCTGCTTTTACATCTTTTGGGTATATACCTATAAGTGGAATTGCTAGGTCATATTGTAGTTCTATTTTTAGTTTTCCACAATGCCTGTACCATTTTGCGCTCCCACCAGCAATGGGTAAGAGTTCCCGTTTTCCCACATCTTTGCCAACATTTGTTATTTTCTGTTTTTTTTTTTTTTTTAATCTTAACCATCCCAGTGGGAGTGACATGGTATCTCGTTGTGGTTTTGATTTACATCTCTCTGATGGCTAATGACACTGAGCATCTTTTCATGTGTTTGGTGGCCATTTGAATGTCCTCTTTGGTGAAATGTCTGTTCAAGTCCTTTGCCCATTTTATGATTGGGTTGTCTTTTTGTTGTTAAGTTTTTGAAGTTTTATATGTGTTTTGGTTATTAGATTCTTGTAGGATATATAGTTTTGGAATATATTCTCCCAGTTGGTAGCTTGTCTTTTCACCTTTTTTGGTAGTCTTTTGAAGAACAAAAGTTTTCAATTTTCATGAGGTCCCATTTATTTTGTCTTTTGGTGTTTGTGCTTTTGTTATTATTAGCTAATCCATTGTTGAAAACTAAGCCTGCTGGTATTGCCCCTGCTTGTTTTTCTAAGAATTTAATGGTTTTAGTTTGCACACTTAGGTCCTGTATCCATTTTGAATTTGTTTTTGTGTATTGTATGAGGCATGAATCCTGTTTCATTTTTCTACCTGTGGAAATCCAGTTTTCCCAGCACCATTTATTGAAGATACTCTTCTTTCCCCATCGAGTGGACTTAGCACCCTTGTCAAAAATCAGTTGGCCATAGATATATGGTTTATTTATTGCTTTTTTTCTTGAGTAAATTAAAATGTTGTTTACATTTTAAGGTAATTAAAAAATGTATGCTTGCAGTAAAAAAAAAATCAACAACGTAGAAGGAAAATAAAGGAAATCTGCCCTCATGCCTCTTGCCTCACCCTGCCCGTCCCCCAGCCCCTGAGATGACTATTGTTTCCCTTATAACAAGACCGTTGGGAATGTCATTGCAGTCCTACTCCTCACAGCCATTGCTGGTCTCGGGAAGGTGCCCCTTCTAGTGACTGGAGCCTGGGCTCAGGCTCAGGACTGGAAGGCTGGCTTTGCCTTTGACTTGCTGTGTGACTCTCAGGTGTCTGCATAACCTCTCTGAGCCTTGGTGACCTCCCTGGCAGACCGACCAGGAGGAGAATGAGATACAGGCTGTAAAGCCCCTGGATAAGTCGATGCCCCTCTAACAGCCCAGGTGACTGTGTTGTGTGATGGTCTTGGCAGGTTGGGGACCAGATTCTGGAGGTGAATGGGCGGAGCTTCCTGAACATCCTGCACGATGAGGCAGTCAAGCTGCTCAAGTCTGCTCAGCACCTCATCCTGACAGTGAAGGACGTCGGCAGGCTGCCCCATGCCCGCACCACTGTGGATGAGACCAAGTGGATTGCCAGTTCCCGGATTGGGGAGATCGCCACGAACTCCACAGGGTCTGGCTGCTCTGCTCGCTCTGAGTCCCAAGACCGCAGAGTTCTTAGGGTTGGGGGAGGGTCCCAAATACCAAGAGTTCCTTTCACTTGGAACGTGACCTTGGGCACATGCCTTCTCTCCTGGCCTCAGTTTCCCCCTGGAAAGCTGAAATACATGATCCCTGATGATTGTTTCAGTGCTCTCATTCTTTATTTGCCTCCAGGCAAATCACTTACCTTCTTTTTATATATATATATATATATATATATATATCATTGTGGTAAATAGACACGTAACCAAACGTTTGCCATTTCAACATTTTTCACATGTGCAGTTTAGTGACATTAGTTGTATTCCTCAACTTGTGCAGCTATCACCTAATTTATTCATTGGTTCATCTGAAAAGTTGAGATCATAATCCCTGCCCCCACCCCAGATCGGAGGATCCCATGAGTTAATTTGGGTGAAAGGGTCTTGGGAGGCATAAAAGGAGGTAGAGTTGTTACACAGCTGCATAGTTGCTAGTAATCTAATGTGTCACCTTTTGATTTCCATCAGAAGTCTCGAACTGGTGACCCAGGGCCAGATACAACCCAGACACATCTCCCTTTCTCTCCACCCCCCTTTCTTCCACTTGCACAGTATTAGAAATTTCAAAAAATTAGTTGCCAATATTAAAAAAGACATTAGATTTCCCATAAAAATCTGGATTTCTGGCTTCTTAAAAATCAGGAACGTGGCCTGAGCCCACCTTTCTTTGTCAGAACAAGAGCTGGAGCTGAGCAGCAGCTGTGTCCTTGAGTTGCACCTTGAGATCTCCAATTCCCCACTTCCCTCATGTTGGCCTGACCCCAAGGTCACATGTCAGTCACCATCTATTCTCTTCTGTCCTTGCATTATCTGCTTGATCCTGTAGGGCTGGAACAACGCAGAGGTCTGCCTTGCATGGTTTTAGAAGTCCTGTCCACATCTTTGATTGGAAGCCAGAAGCTGCCCTGTCTGTCCAGGGCCTCATATACCCACGAGTAGCCCCAGAACTGAGCTGGCAGCTGTAGGGGGGCTATAATGTCTTGGTTCTCTCAGGACATGGAGGAAGTGAAGCTCCTCTGGCCCTCACAGCTTTGCTCCTTGTTCCAAATCAGCCCTTCCCTCACTCCTGCCTAGTCTGTCTACTCAGACCTGCAGCTGAAGAGGCTTGTCTTTCTTCACAGGTTTCCTGGGGATCTCACAAGAGAGGGGACGAACAAGGTAGGGTGTTCTCCATTGTGGAGTACCTTCGATTTCTTGCTGGCTCCCCTGATTGGGACACTGGGCCAGAAAGAGTGCTACACAGTTTACACACGTTATCTCAGTTGGACACCCCGCGACTGTCTACCACCTCCTCTGCCATGTCTGTGAGTGCTTCCCATGGCCCGGGCACTGCCTTAGGCCTCAGGCTAATAGCAGTGAACAGAATCAAACGGATCCAGTGCCTGCCCTTGTGGAGGTCTCACTCCAGTGAGGGAGACACACATAAAAACAAACCTACAAATAACAAATAATCCAATTACAAAAGATGTTCAATGCCATCAAGGCAAGGTGCTGGGTATTATGAGAGAATACGGGTGAGGTACCTACTCCAAATGGGGTCAGAGGGGGTCAGGGAGGGGAGAAAGGCCTCTCTGAGGTAGTGATGTGACACTAGAGCTTGAACTGAATGTTCAGTAGAAGCTAGTGAGGTCAAACTGGGGGAGGGAGGGTGATCCAGTCACAGGGAACAGCATGTACGAGAGCCCTGAGGCAGGGGAGGGCTTGGCTTGTTGGAGGAATGGAAGAAACGAGAGTGTGGCAGAGTGTAGCGAGGAGGGGTGGGAGCAAGATGACGACAGGTTTCGATGGCCAGATCACACAAGGCTTTGTGGGCCACGGTGATCGGTTGGTTTCTTACCTGAAATAACAGGATGCCATTGAAAGGGCTTTAAGCAGGGAGCAACAGAACAAGATTTGTGATTTTACAGGATCATTTCAGCAGCTCTGGAGATTAGTGCCTAGATGATACAGAAGTCCAGGGGGGACCAGAGGTGAGACTGGATGGTATCTTGAAAGGCTGGTGACAGTAGGGGCAGTGGCAAGGCATGGGGAGTGTGTGTGCAGATTTGAGTTGTTTTGGGACTATAGGTACCACTATTATCCACAGAGTCCTTGGGTGGTGCATACAGTTAATGTGCTCAGCTGTTAACTGAAAGGTTGGAGTTGGAGTCCACTCAGGTGCCTTGGAAGAAAGACCTGGTGATCTACTTCCAAAAAATCAGCCATTGAAAACTCTATGGAGTGCAGCTTTACCCTGAAACATGGAATCACCATGAGTTGGTATCAACTCAGTGGTAACTGGTTTTATTATTATCCCCAGCTTAGGGAGATGCTGAAGTTTAGAGAAGAAAACGGTAACCGTGATAATATTGCTTGCCTCTGAACAGTTATAAGGATCTGATGAGGTAATATCTGTAAAAGTGCTTTGTAAGCGCTGCTGAAATGGATGAGGCTAGGCACCCTCTGAGGATGTATTGTATCATCTCCTGTGGGTTTACTGTGTGTGTTGAGACCACTGAGGGGCTTTTGGGGACTACCTCATCACTCTGCGTGTTGTCACTGGCTGGGCCTGGCTGCTTGGCTCCAGAGCAGCTCAGAATTCCTGGGGCCTCTGGATTTCTGTCTTCCAGCCGGGGTTTTACAAGGGGCCGGCCGGCTCCCAGGTGACCCTCAGCAGCCTGGGGAACCAGACACGTGTGCTGCTGGAGGAGCAGGCGCGGCATCTGCTGACCGAGCAGGAGCGTGCCACCATGGCCTATTACCTGGATGAGTACCGTGGCGGCAGCGTCTCTGTGGAGGCCCTTGTCATGGCCCTGTTTGAGCTGCTCAACACCCATGCCAAGGTGACCCACACCCCTCTTCAGGCGAGGCAGCGCGTGCTGGGGCCTGGGTTTGGCTTTTCCAGGGCTCTGCACCCTTCTCTGCCTCCCTCCGTCCTCCACTCCTTTCCTGCCGGGATTCAGGCTCAAACCCTGGGCAAAGATGGGTGGCCCAGACAGCCCTCACACCCAGGAAGCTCCCTCCCTCCTTGGGAAACAATTAACATACTCTAATGCAGTGGCTTTTAACACTGAGTGCACATTTAGAATTACCTGGATTACTTTGAAAAAGCATTGCCCAGGCCACATCCCAGACTAGTTGACTCTACATATCCGTGGATGGGAGCCAGGCACTGATGTTTGTAACTAGCCCCCCAGTTAACTGTGACATGCTACCAGCTTTGAGAACACCACTTTAGTGGAAGCCTGTTTGAGGTTGAGAAGGAGCACCAAGGAAGAAGTAATTAAATCCATTGGGAATGGCTACATTTTGGAAGACTTAACAGAGGAAGCGTGATTTGGAGACAAGTAGGGGGAAGGGTATTCTAGGTGGGAGGGACAGGCAAGGGCTTACTTGTGAGGATGTGTTTGGGGAGTTAGTCATGCATGGGTGGTATGATTGCAGAGGAGATGGGGAGAGGTAACGCTGGAGAGAGAAGCAGGAGTCAGATGATGCTGGACCCAGTGTCTAGGCGAAGATGGGTCAGACAGTGGGGAGGGCAGTGGGGTGCCACGGAGGATTAAGGAGGGCAGGGCAGTGGTCAAGGTTGTGTGCAGGCCATTTGAGGGTGGGAGTGAGACTGGCCCCATCTGCTGTTGGAGCTCCCTGCTGAATGCCCTGCTTGTCCCTTCCCCAGTTCTCGCTCCTCTCGGAGGTGAGAAGCACTATTTCCCCTCAAGACCTAGACCGCTTCGACCACCTGGTGCTGAGGTGGGAGATTGAGTCAATGAAGGCGCGGCAGGCCCCAGGCCCTATAGCCGGCGACACCTACTCCGTGGTCTCCTACACTGACACAGCCTCGTCCACGGGCAGCCACGGCACCTCCACTACCGTCAGCTCGGCCAGGGTGAGTTGCCCCTGCCTCTGCCCCTGCCCTGTCCCTGGCTGGATGACCCAGTGGGTAAGTTAAGATACTGGCTTTGGAGTGAGACTGCTTTGGGTTCAAACCCCAGCACCACCACTTACCAGGTCTGTGCCTTGCCTCACTGAGCCTCGGTTTCTCCATTTGTATAAACCAAGTCATTGTTGAGCACCTACTGCGTACCAGGCATGGGCTATAGGGGAAAACTGGTCAGCGAAATAGACGCAGCCCCTTCCTTCATGGAGCTCTCAGTCTAGGGGGTGGGGCTGGGGGAGAAAGGCAAAAAGCACAGGTAATTAGACAAATAGAAAAAATAATATAACCCGTGGGAGAAGCAAATGAGAAAATACGGTAATGCATTTCGCATGTGCCTGGCTCAAGGTGGGCACTCAATCAGTGGTAGTGGCAGTGGTGTTTGCATTGTGATTGTGATGTTCCCCAAGAGGCCACCTTCTTGTCTGTGAATTCCCAACCCTAGCCTGACTTTTTCCCAGACCGCCAGCCCCCAGGAATGCACCTGGTATATCTCGGTGGGGTTCTGCCCCCGGGATGCTTGGAGGCAGATTAATTCAAGGAGGCCTTTGCCAGGAAGGGGCAGGTGGGAAGCCCTTGTTATCCATCATGGGTACAACCAGTCATTGAGTCATGTGGTGGATGGTAGGAGCCTGCGCTGGAGGCCAGGAGAGCTGGCTTCTGGCTCCATAACTCTTCTCCTGTACTCTTGTTTCGTGTCTTTTGGTCATTCATCGCTACTCTTCCTCGGAAAGGGAGGGAAGAAGGTAGCATTTCTTAAGTACTTCTGCTTCTAGGTGCAGAGCTGGGAGCTCTTTCAGGTGGGATCCTGAGTCCATTTCCAGACGGATGCCCTGTTAGTCCTGTTTGACAGGGGAGCTCAGAAGGGCACAGTGCATCCAGGGTTGCACACACAGGTGGTCAGTGGTCACAGATGAGCTCACAGCCACCCAGAAACAGGCCTGGAGCGTGCATCCCTGTCCTTTGCAGACTCCAGCTCCCAGCGTGGCTGCTCCTTAGCTCTGGGTTCCTGGGGACTTCCACACCTCTGCCTCCTTCCTTGCCATCCAGTGTCACCTTCATCCCCTGGTGTCCTTGTCTCCTTCCTGGGATGACTCCTGTACATTCCTCTAGGACCCTGGATTTGGGCTGCTAGACGAGCTTCTGGACAGGGGGGAGGCCACCCCTGCCTCAGGCTGCTGTTTGGCTCTCTGCATACCCTTTCATGCTGTACTGGGTTTTGGGCTGCAGCACCCTGGCCCAAGAGGCTGTTTCTCTCTGTGTTTAGCTCCACTGAGACTGGCTTGATAATGTCCACATGAAACTTCAGCAGCATGAGCCTCTGCTCTCAGACCTGGGGAGTTAACAGACTAATTCTGTGATGGTTCCTTTAGAGTCGGAATGAGTGAGCCAGCAGGTGGGATGGGATATGTTCTAGCTTTGGAGGCAGGAGATCTAGGGGTAAGCCCTGGCCTGTCTGGGTCTCAGTTTCCCCATCTGTGAAAAGGCCCCAGGTCCTTGCTGGCTCTGGCCAGCAGATTAAGCTGGAAGACTAGGAGTCAGGGTAACTTTTATGCCAGGAAAGGCTGTGGGCAGGGGTCAGGGGCCCCCAGCCCCAGATTCTGCTCAGTGTTGACCTGCAGCAACCTTGTCCCAGCCTGGGGGTCTCTCCCCAACCTGACAAGTGCTGCGCCAGGCTAGTCTGGACCCCAGCTCAGCGTTGACCCTGCCCCCTCGGAGGGACCTTTGCTGCAGATTGGGACACCCTGGGGAAGGCAGACCTCAGAAAGGCCATGGGATGGTTTTAAGCAGGGGGGTTTTAGAGGCAGATGGAAGGGGTGCTTCTGTTGCCCCTCCCCAAGCTTCTGAGATGGGAATGACCCCTAGGTAACACGTCATCTCAGGATTAGGCTAACCAGGAGCAGGATAAGCTCCTGGAGGTGGATTCTAGGAGAAAGCTGTGGCAGGTGGGTGAGGCAGTGTGGATAGACAGAAGGTCATGCCATCTCTCTTGCCTCAGTTTCCTCACTTGCCTTGGGGCCATGATGCTGCTACCCCTGGTGTGTTGGGAGGATTAAATGAGAGCATACCTGTGGACCCACGATGAGGAACTGCCTGGCTAGTGCCAACATCCCAGAAAGGCTGCCCACACCCTGAGGGCAAGTGAAGAGCCTATTTATTCTTTCTGACCCAACCTGGCTGGGGAAAACCACCTGGGGATTTGCTTTCAAGGCCTGTGGGTACTTGGAGGCTTTGGGAAAGCACTGGGCTGAGGGACTGCCACTCCCTCTCTGACCATCACCACCCACCTCAACTGAAGGTGCGATCTGCATACACAACCCCCAGGAATCCATTTCACCTTCTCGCCCCTTCAGGGTTTGGGCCCCCCTGAAATTAGTCCTTCTCTAGTTGAGACTTCCTTCTTCGGGCTCTTTTATTAGTGAGTTTGATCTTGGACAAGTCACTTTCCTTCTCTGAGCCAAATGAGAATCATGATTCCAGCCCTGCCTCCTGAGCAGTCCCAGGGTGGTGCCAAGGTGAGTGACCATGTCCTGCAGGCCCTCCTCAAGGACAAGTGTCATTTCTACAGAGGAGTGGGGCCCCCAGTTTCCTTCAAGGAGGCAGAGGCAGAATGAGGGCCCTGGTCGAGGCAGCAGTGTCTTTTCTTCCCCTCTCCAGTCTTTATTCCTGCCCACGGCATTCAAGGTAAATAGGAAAGGGATTTGGAGAACCTGTTTATTTTGCCTTTGTGTGCCTGCGTGTGTTTGGGGGAGGGGGTCGTTGCTGTTCCCACCCTATCCCTCATATTTATTTGATGTCCTCTTCTTTTTGCCTTTTGCCCACACTTCCTCCCCAGGAGCGGCTGCTGTGGCTTATAGACCTGATGGAGGTACTGTCTTTCTTGTGGGGCGGGGCTGTGGGAGTTCCTTAGCTAGGGGCAGAAGTAGGGGCTACAGCCCTTCATGGCACCCCCTTCTGTCTGCAGGCTGCTCTGATGGAGGCCGAGGTTTCTTCTTGGTGCCCAGTGTCTCTCCAAGGCACCAGTTCTTCAGGTTTTCTCAAGCTCCGGAGTGAGACTGCCCTTCTTTCAAATCCCAGCTCTGGTGCTTCCTAGCTGTGTGACCTTAAGCAAGTGATTTCTCCTCTCTGAGCTCAGTTATAGGGTCTATAAAATGAGGATGATAATTTCTATGCTATGGAGAAGTTTTGAGATCTCCTGGCCTTTGCATATGTCATATGCTTTTTCTGGAATGTTCTCCCACCCACTTCACATGACCTGATCATCTTGTGTGTGTACTTTCAGCCCTTGGCTCAGATGCTACCTCTTCCAAGAAGACTTCCTGATCCTCTTAAGGGGTGACTTTCAGCATCTAACTCCCCCAGCCACCCCTGGACTTCCTTCCATTGTGGCTCTTGTCTCATTATATTCTAATAATATGTATGAGCCCGACTACTTGAGGGCAGTGACTGTGTTTGTGGTCACCAATGAGTCCGTACTGCCCAGCCTAGGGCTTGGCCCTTATTAACTGCCTTCTCAATAACAATATTAGCTAGTTTTATTGAGAGTTCTCTGTGGCACTGTGGTAACACTTTACAGGTGTTATCTTCTTTGAAGGAGCCCTGGTGGTGCAGTGGTTAAGTGCTGGACTGCTAACTGCAAGGTAGGCGGTTCGACCCCACCAACTGCTCTGTGGGAGAAAAGACCTGGAAACCTGCTCCTGTAAAGATTACAGCCTAGGAAACCCTATGGGGCAGTTCCACTCTGTCATATGGGGTCACCATGAGTCAGAATTGACTAGCTGGCACACAGCGACAAGTAACCAGGAGTGGCAGGTTTTGCTCTGACCTCCTTTTACAGAGCAGAAAATGGGAGCTCAGAGAGGAGAGCGACTTGTTCAAGGCTGCACAGCTAGTAAGCGATGGCTTCAGGATTCAAGCCCAAGTCTCCTTGCCTCTGAGCTGGTGCTGTTAAGCCCTGAAGTCTGGTTGTACGATCTCACCAGCTGTTTGATGAGCGTCGTCTTGGTTTCCTAGGGCTCTCAGAACAAAATACCACAAAGTGCTGGTTTTACAGAACAGAAATTTATTTTCTCACAGTTCTCGAGGCTAGAAATCCAAATTCAGGGCCTCGACAGAGCTATGCTCTCTCTCTCTGGACTCTGGGGGAAGATCCTTCCTTGTCTCTCTAGACTTGTGGTAGCCCTGGGCATTTCTTGGCTTGTAGATGGATCCTTATAGGCTGTCTTCCCCTTTGTGTCTCTGTTCCCCTGTCTGTTCTTCTCTTTTATAAACCGTCACTCAGAAGGGATTAGGATTAGGGCCCTCCCTCTTCTAGTTTTACCTTGTTAATTTAACATCTGCAAAGAAAAACCCTATTTACCAACAAGGTCACCGTTCACAGGTATAGAGGTTAGGACTTCAACATATTTTTTTGGGGGACACAATTCACATCTGTCTATCCATCCATCCATCTCTCTCATCTCTTCATCTCTCCTTCTTCCTTCCCTCTCTTCTTACCGTCTCAGCAACAGATATTTATTGAGCATTTACTATGTGCCACATGTAGTTCTGGCTGTTGGGGATGCAGTGGTGAACAACAACAGAGAAACCCTTCTATTACGGAATTTCAAGTAGAGCAGAGATGACAGACGATAAACAAGATAAATCAATGAAATGCACAGTACGTTAAGTGGTGATAAAGGCTGAGGAGGAAAATAAAGCTGGGAGGGGGTTAGGGAATACCAGGGATGGGGCTGGTGGGGAGAATTGGGGGTGGCTTGGAAATGAGCCTTGAGTAAAGATCCGAAAGAGGTGAGGGACAGAACCATGTCTGGGGGAAGAACCTTCCAAGCAGAGGACACAGCAAGTGCAAAGGCCCTCAGGTGGGAGCATGCCTGGAATGTCTGAGGAAAGTCAAGGAGGCCAGTGAGGCTGGAGTGAATGAGGGCAGGGGAGGGCGGGGCAGATCGTGT